ATTCAAATGGCAGTAGGTTTCTCATCTGAAAACATGGAGGCTATCTAAAATGTTTTCAGTACCTATAGGGAACACCAGTTCAAATGACAGTAGATTTCTGTCACGAAAATACAGAGAGGGACATGACACGATATTTTTCAAGTGCTGAAATAAAAGGACTGTCAGTTGTGAATTCTATATCTGGTGAAATTGTGCCTCAGGAACCAGAGGAAAATAGAAACATTCTCAGATAATGGATACCTAAAGAATTTGTTGCTAGCAGAACAACCCTTGAAAATTGGCTAAAGAAAGTTCTTTAAGCAGAAAGGAAATGATAGTAGAAGGAATCTTGGAGCCTTAGGAAGGAAGAGGGAACAATGGAAAGACAGAAATATGGGTACGTAAAATAATAGACTGTCCCAGGCTGGGCGTGGTGGCTCACACCCCAGCACTTTTGGGGGCTGAGGCAGGTGGATCACTGGAGGTCAGGAGTTTGAGACCAGCCTGACGAACATGGTGAAACCTCATCTCTACTAAATACAAAAAAAAGAAAAAATTAGCTGGGTGTGGTGGCACACACCTGTAATCCCAGCTACTTGGGAGGCTGAGGCAGAAGAATCAGTTGAAGCTGGGAGAAGGAATGCAGTGAGCCAAGATTGCACCATTGCACTGCAGCTGGGCCATGAGTGAAACTCTGTCTCAAAAAAAAAAATCGTAATAATAGACTGTCCCTTTCCTCTCAAGTCTCATTAGTCGTATTTGATGATAGAATAAAACATATAAAACCATCTGATACTAAAGATGATAACATTTAAATCAAGATAAAGGACTTAAATGGAAGTGAGGTTTCCACACTTTGTTCAAAGTGGTAAAATGTTGTTACTAATAAGCAGATTATTATTATAAGTCACATGTTCATATTGTAAATAATTGGCGTAGTCACTGAAAAGCTATACAAAGCGATAAACTCAAAAACAATATAAACAAATCAAACTGGAATCCATGATGGTTAATTTTAGGTATCAACTTGACTGGGTTAAGGAGGACCTAGGTAGCTGGTAAAGCATTCTTTCTGTGTGTGTGTCTGTGAGGATGCTTCCAGAAGAGGTTGGCACCTGAATCAGTGAACTGAGTAAAGATTACACCTGCCTACTATGGGTGGCCACCATCCAATTGGTTGAGAGTGTAGATAGAACACAAAGGCAAATCTCATTTCTCTTCTGGAGCTGGAACACCTGTCTTCTCTCCTTGGACATCAGAACTCTAGGCACTCTGGCCCTCAGACATCAGGACCAACACAGCAGTCTCCCAGGTTCTTGGGCCTTTGGCCTCAGGCTGAGTTATACCACCAGCTCCCTTGGTTCTCAGGCTTTGGACTTGTCCTGGTCTGTCCCTGCCTCTCCAGCTTGCAGACAGCCTATCGTGGGACTTCTCAGCTCCTGTAATTGTGTGAGCCAATTTGCCGAGTAAATCCTCCCTCATATACCCAGTTTGTTCTGTTTCTCTGGAGAACCCTAATGTAGGACTCTCAAAAATGTTCAAGTGACTTACAGGAAGGCAAGAAGAGAAGAACAAAAGAATAAGAACTTAAGCCTGAGTGTGTTAATAATTACCTTAAATGTAAATGGACTAAATATACCAATCAAAAGACAGAGACTGACAGAGTGGATGAAGAAACGTGCCCAACTATATACTGCTGATAGGAAAGTTACTTCAAATTGAATAACGTAGGTAAATAGAAAAGGATGGAAAAATTATACCATGCAAACATTGATTTAATAAAAAATCAGAAATGGCTGTATTAATACTTGATAAATTAGGCTTCAGAGCAAAGATAATTACCAAAGACAAAGAAGGGCATAGTGGTAAAATGCTACGTTAAGGGTTACCAGGGCATAGAGATAGGAGGTATGCTGATTATAAAAGGGCAATATGAAGAATCCTTATATAGTGTTGGAACTGTTCAGTGTCTTGACTGTGGAGGTAGATCCCTGAATCTGTCAGGTGACTGAAGTGTATAGACTTGACACACTCACACATATACATACACTGGCATACACACAAATGAGTACGAGTAAAACAGTAGAAACCGGAATGTGATTGACATCAATGTCAATATTCTGGTTGTGGTACTATACTGTAGTTTTTAAAAATGTTGCCATTTAGGCCGGGCGCGGTGGCTCAAGCCTGTAATCCCAGCACTTTGGGAGACCGAGGCGGGTGGATCACGAGGTCAAGAGATCGAGACCATCCTGGTCAACATGGTGAAACCCCGTCTCTACTAAAAATACAAAAAATTAGCTGGGCATGGTGGCACGTG